GCCTTTTGGGCATACCCAGTCTCTTTCTCCAGGCTTAACTGGAGAGCTTACAGCCAAAATAACACCTCAGCCATTTATTAAGTTTCCATTCTCCTCCCTGCTCCCTGTAAAAAATTAAAACAATAACATAATTTCTTAACCATTTAGCCAGATTGATAATGAAGAAAGAAAAAGGGCCATGAAGAAGGCAGTGATTTGAGTGTTGGACTTGAAGCCCATGGTCAAGATCTTTATTTTTTCTTGGATCGTGGGAAAGGCACACTCTCTCAGCCTCTGAAGAGATAGTACCAAGAAATGCTCAAGAGAGTTGCATTAAAGTCAAATTGATGTGAAAGCACATATCAGCAGCAGCAACAAAAATAAATAAATAAACTGATGAAGACTTCTGAAGAACTTGAATACTGCACACCTGAAGAACTTTAGATGCCCCTGATAATTGTATTGTCCACACCTAGATTTTGGCTTGTTATGGCGAACACGTGCCTTCTCTGCTTATCTCACCAGTGATTTTTTTAATTTTTTAAAAATGTCCATCTTGTGCTCCCAGTTCCTACCTTTAGTGAAACAAGAGGAAGGCAGAGACATTTCAAGTATCATTGTGAATGTTGGCACATTTTCCAAAAATTATAGCAGAGGCATGGGAGAATGACTTGTTTTGATGGTTGTTTCACAAACCTTGTTATTATGTAGTTTGACTTCCAGGCCTAAATCTAGTCCTTTATTAACTAGAACAACAAACCTTTCTGCTCATTAGCTCATTAAACCATTTCCACAATGTTGAACTTCTCTATACTTGCTACCAAAGAACCTTGTGTTGGACGTTGTAGAGGATTCTGGGAAGGTTGCTCAGGATGTACAACTTCTTTCAGTGGTCAAGATCATGATTTGTGCATTTCTTGAAGCTTTCACCTATTTTGACCTTTTTTGGGAAACATTCATTAAGTAATGTATTGTGTGGGGAAGCACATATTTTCCTGAAAATCGCAGCGTTATTTCTACAAAGACATTATTTTTTCATACAAAAGCAATGTGTGTGTGTTTTGCTAAAAACTATTGGGGGATTTGTGCAAAATAAATGTTAGTGAAATTTTCCCTTGAAAGGTCCCCAGATGTGAAGAAATCTTACATTGACTGACAACTGTTTCAGTGTAGAATCTCAACATGGAAAAAAGCCTCATATATTGTTAGCAAGCCCACTCTGTACTCTAGTTCTTGCTGGTTGGCTGGTTCATCTGTGTCCTTGATTTTCTCAAAGATGCCACTGTTCCATGGAGAACTCAGTAGTGGTAGGCAGGCTGGTCTTCAAGGAAGATCTTTCACCATTATGGTTCATATTATGGAGTTACTCCTGATTAATTTTCTATTGGGCTAGTGAGGGTCCCTCAGCACAGTTTACAAGCTTATCTGAAGAAGACCGTTTTGATTCACAGTATTCCAATATCACGCACCTCCAGACAGAAGGAGCCAACGGATGGCTGGAGGGGTGCATTTGAATCCCCCTGTGAAGGACCAGTTGGTTCTGGCTGGCATTGTTGCCAGGTGGAAGAGGGGAGGGGCCTTACAAACCTTCCTACAGGTAGCCCCCTCCCCCTGCATTCGGCCTTCCAGCAGCGCCTTCAGGTGTTTCATCCAGTGGTTGGTTTGGCAAGTGGTCCCAGAAAGATACCTGGCCTCACACCATTACTCATGTCACAGTGCTCCCCCCACAACTAGTCAATTAGTTCACTTATCCGTTTCTAATTAGGTCAATAAATGGCCCGTTTATTTCTCCACATCTTGTGTCTTGTGTCTTATTTCATGGTGGGGATTCAAATACATTTAAGATGTATGTGCTTAAATTGTAATGAGTAGCATTTGAAAAAGCTAAATTAAAATTCCTTTGCCTTGTATTTGCTATCCTACCTTTTATCGCCCAAACAGACATGTCTACACAATTCTCCATTTACATATCATAAACATTGGGTGTAGCATTCACATAAATGAGATATAAAAACTATCTCTTAAAATTTTATGGCAGTGATACTGATAGATACCAATGTGCTCTTGCTGCCCACATTAGACATCTCTGTGAAGCAATCCTGCAGATTACCATCTGTTTACAGAACATGAGGGCTTTGCAGGAACCTGCCTTGTGTAGTCAAACTGCTGTGCTTTGAAAACAATCTTGTTGTCCTTATGGGTTTTCACTATACTTCATCAGACTGTGATACTGTACTACCACAGTGACATCTCCTCTTCTAAAGATTTTCACTCCAGTAAATCTAATGGCATAGTGGGTGTGTACATTTCTGACCAGTCTATGCCAATCATTCATTTCTTTTTCTCCATGTAAAATGCCAGACACACTAAGAATATAACTAGATCTTTGCCCTACTTCATAAGGTCACCCATGCTATCTGCCAAAAGTCATCACTGCCAACAATGACCAAATCATTATGCAAAATAGCATGTCAATATGATAGCATTTTTAAAATTAGGGTAGCAGTCAGTCCATGTTTACCTGAAATCCAGTCTGGATTCAAATCCATAGCAGGCCTGGGAATTTGAGATATGAAGGAGCATAAATCAAACCATCAATAACTATACCTAGCTAAGTAGACAGATAGATGAAAGACAATTTTGAGTATGCCACAGACTGCAGTTGGGATGGGCATTCAATGTTTATAAATAGTTTCTTTCACATAGTAACAACAGGACCAGAATAGTTTGTGTGTTGGATCAGGACACTGGGAGACAGGGGTTCAAATCCCTGATCTGACATCAAAACCTACCGGTTGGCTTTGGAAACATCATATTCTCTCAGCTGCAGAGAATATGACCAAATCTTGCAAAGAATATGCAATGATAGATTCACCTTAGAGTCACCATAAGTCAGAAATGAGTTGAAGGATGCAATATATCATAACTAAAGCTATGAAAAGCAACTTTATGATGAGGTCAATTCCATTGGACATACATCTGAGTGTGGCACACTACCACAATATGGAATGGCACAGCCTACAATTCTATTATCTCAATGTACCCCCTAAACTGTTTATTTGTTTTAAACATTTCAGCAATGCAAAAGGGAGGAGGAATGATGAGCAAGGTCAGGGAGAAAAACTGGAAAATCCATACACTAAATTCCACTGAGAACAGTAAACTTGTTCTGCATTGTGGTTTGTGTGTGTGTGTTTTTTTTAATATTGTAGCAACACTAGAAGAGGGATGGGAGAGGGAAGTGTAAATTACACTAAACCACTACTAGAGTCTCACACGTTTCTGATATATAAAGATTTCAGTAACAAAATCATCAACAATTTAAAATAGAATAGAAAGGGTAGATATAACACTCAGAGATGCTCATGGATTACCATGCTTACGAGAGGATTTGGTTTTGGCAGGAGTTTGAACTCTGTAGCATCTTTAGCATGGAAATCCAGAACAATATTTAAAAAGTATTATATGTGAAGGAGTGGTTGGCTCCCAAAAACAAAATTTTACAGGATGAGTCTTCTTTATCCAAAATGCTTGGGAGGAGAAGTGTTCTAGATTTTGGAAACCACCCCCAACCCCAAATTTTGGAATATCTTTACAAACATACATGCACTCTAAACATGAACTTTATTTTGTTTCATATATGCCCTACACATAGCCTGAAGATGATGTTATACAATAATTATTAATCATTGTATTCCCGAAACAAAATTTGTTTATATTGAACTACCAGAAAGCAAAGGTATCAACATCTCAGCCACACTTGTGGACAATTTTGGCATTCTGGATAAGGAATGCTCAGCTATATTTTGTTTCCAAATAAATTGTAAGAGTGTATGTTTAACTGATATAAGAACTTTGAAACAATTATTACATCTGCCCAAAAATTCCTGAAATCCATCTGCTTGTGGAAGCAGAGGAGGCACTACCGGTTTTAAAAGTATTCTCCATGAACTACAGTCTAAAAGAGCCATGGAAACTAAACTGCTATATAAAGGATCATATAAATGTGTACTATAGTCTATAGGATGATTATTCAGTGGACTTGGAGGGAGTTTCTTCACCATTCATACTGATTTTCTTCAAGCAGATATGATGCAATTTCCCCTCTAGTTGGCCTGTCAGTTGCTTTTTGATTTCTTTGTGGGACGGGCCTCTCTGAATGACACACTCATGTTTTCAACAATGCCTGTAACGTTATTTGTGAATAACATATGACATAATTCCTCCCCTATTGACTACAGGTTTGTATCCTCCACCCTGTGTTTTTCTTTTGCCCCATCTCGGTGTGGAAGTATTTGTGTAGTCCTTATGAGACTGTACCTGCCTGTTTTCAGAGCTGGTTGTATTTTTGAAGTTACATACTTTCCTGAACTAAACAGCCCACATAGGTTCAAACCTCTTTTAAAGTCTAGACACTGTAGTAAATGACTGCCATAGATTCCCTAGATTACATAGGGCCCTTCCACACATCCTTATGTCCCAGAATATCAAGGCAGAAAATCCCACATTATCTGAATGTGGACTCAGATAACCCAGCTCAAAGCAGATATTGTGGGATTTTTCTGCCTCGATATTCTGGGATATAGGGTCACATAGAAGGGCCTATAGAGTAGTCACGCTTCCCCAAAATACATATTAACTGAGGATACGACACTTTAGAATTGTCATAAACCATTATGAAAAGAAAACCTTTGCTTTTGTGTCCCTGCATGGCAGGGGGTTGGACTGGATGGCCCTTGGAGTCTCCTCCAATTCTAACATTCTATGATTCTATGAATATGCACTAGAAAGAAATTCCAGATTTTTAAAACAGAGTATCAACTGCATTTGTGTTGTATCATGCTTGCCTGGAGCATAACATCTAAATGATGAGACAGCAAAAGCAATTGTGATGGTGCAAAAAATGGTCATCCATGAAGAGTGCCCAACTAAGAGTCTGTGACTATGGCTAACACCCATCCACATGCCATACTAGGCCCAGGCCTGCACTTAGGTCTACATAAAGAGAGATGTTATCTTACCTTGCCAATTAAGGAGGCAAATTGGTTATTGAGTGTCTTGATCTCCTCTTTCTCCTTGTTCCTGATTGCCTGGAAGGCGGGATCAATTTCCAGGTGTAGCGGTGTCAAGAGCCGCTGGTTGACGGTAACTTTGGGGTAAGCATGGTGGCCATACCCAGTCAAGCTCGAAGAACTGAAGTTCCTTCTGGCAGGTTCCCCCATGGTGGGGCTGCAGCAGGCCCCATACCTTGAGGAAGGAGAACAGGATCGCCCTCTCCTCACATTATAGGATGCTCCTGGAGAAGTCAGGGACCGGCTACTGAGCCTGGTGAAGTCTCGGGAACGGCTAGTCATTGTGCCAATGAAGATCCCTTGGGAGCACTAGGCCAGCTTGCTGCAACTGAAACAGACAAGAAACACGTTGAGAAGCAGCCTCGGTGTAATTTCTGTCTGTGCTGAGCTCAGTTTAGCTAATGAATTACAAACACCTGTTCTGCTATGTTCATAAAGTCAGGAGGGTGTGACTGTTGATGTAATCCAGATCAACCTGTTGGCTCTCTCTCTCTCTCCCTCTCTCCCTTCCTCCTTCCCTCCTGTCTTTTGTAGTTTGTTTGTGATGTAAGCACACAAGCACAGGCACAGACGCTTGTAGGAAAGAGGAAAAAAAAAAGAAGACCAAACCAAAAATTACTCACTTGCCTCTTTGTACAGACAGTCGAGGAAGAAATCTTTGTCCATAAACGGCAAAAGAGTGTGTTGAAAGGGGAAATGAGGTCACATATTGGTTGATCACACAGGATTGCATTCAATCTTAGAGAACATTATTTAGCTACATTTTATGCCTGTTTCTTCTGTAATGGCAAGAACTAAGGGAATCAAAAGATTTGTATAGTGTACTCATATGGGCAGGTTGACCAACACTCCAACCACGGTCCATTGTCAGCTCTTAGTTGGTGGAACCCCCTCCCCCCGAAGCCCCCAGACTCAGAAAAATATTTTCTAAATCTTTTGAGGTACATTTTGCACCCTCCTCCCATGTGCCTCAAAGATAGAAACGTGTTTTTCCTGATGCTCCAAAGACTAGTCGCTCAAAACCTCTCAAAGACTTAAAGGAAAACTTAAAAATGCTGAAATACAGCCAAAATGGAAGCCAAACATAAGATCAGATCACTTTGGTCATTCTTATATGTACCCAATTTCTACCCCACTGGGTGAGTACAGGGTGGAAAAATAGCCCCTGCCTCAGTACAGTTGCCCATCAGCTATGAAGGAAGGAGTCTGTCCTTCTTGTTTGTTCAGTTTCAGACACTTTAAACACCAAAAGACAAAGAGATGCCTTCTGTTTATTTTTGGCTAATAGTCAACCATTGTGAATTCTTGATGAAAGCAATTAACAACAATGGGCTTCCTGCCATTAAGATTTTTTCCCTTCTCAGCTTATGGGTGAAGTGAAGCTAGATATACATCTTGCAGCACATGCAGTCAACCTGGGATAAGGGAAGTTTGAATAACTGGATAACGATTTTAGTAAGGAGATGCTGATGACTATGTTTTTATGGCTTTGTATGGTTTTATATTATATGCTAAATTTTTAAATTGTATTTATATTTATTTTTAATTGTATTTTATAACTGTGGGGGCATCAGATTGTTGCCGACTGTGAACCGCCCTCAGTCACCTCCGGGCTGAGAAAGGTGGTATATAAATGTGGTAAATAAATAAATAAATAAATAAATATCTTGGGACTACAAAAATCACATCCCCTTCCTTCTCAGGAGGCTTTTAAGCAGTGGCTGGATGACAATCTGTCAGGAGGACTTTGACTGTGTTCCTACATGGCAGGGGCTTTGACTGGATGGCTTCTATAATTCTATGACTACTAGACATATGGTTCCCCCACCACACACACATACACACGCACGTACTTTGTTGTCACTGGAGGAAGGAGTTAGAGGTGGTCCAGGCATGTAGCCGGGGGGGCTTGGGGGGCTTCAGCCCCCCCCCCCGAAATTCTCATGGTGGTTCTGAAAAGGCCTTACTGGTGCATTATTTAAACTGTTATGTTTATTCATATCATGATCTGATCATCATGCTCAATATATCTCATATGCATGGGGTTTTTGGGGTAATTTTTGAGTAATTTAGTGCAATCTGGTAATGGAATATAGGAATGGAACAATGGACGACGAACCTGGACTACGCTTGGATGATGAGAAGATTGGGTACGGTTGTTTTTTGTAATAATTGTGCATTGTAATTGCTTATTGGTAATTTATGGATAATGTGTTAAGTCAATTGTTATATGTTGTATGGAACCACTGCTGTTTCTACTGTTTTTACTGTTTGTGAACCGCTGTGAGTCGCCTTCGGGCTTGAGATACAGCGGTATATAAGCAAAGTAAATAAATAATAAATAAATAATAAATAAACAATACAAAAGGTTTGCTAGGTTAGACCCTCTTTCACTCAGACTCAGCCCTCCCCCCAAATCAAACTCAGCCCCCCCCTCCCGAATCAAAATCCTGGCTACGAGCCTGAGGTGGTCAGAACTGGTTGGTGGGAGGTGAAGTTTCCCGACAAGATGAAGTTCTTTCCTAGGATCAATTTTAACCTTTTTAAAGAGAAGAAATGTCTCTGTGTGGTTATTTGCATACCACTCCTGGCACATCTCTGCTTAACAAAAGCGTGCTTATTCACATGCATGATTAAAAAAACAAACAAACAAAAAGCAGAATGTCCATGACTGTGTGGTTGGAAATAATGCAAAGGACTGCATTGACAGAAAAAGGTGAGGTCACCAGGAGGAAATGTGTGGCTGGTTATGATCTCACCACGATATGTGCAGAATTTGCAGGGTCATATAAACTAGGGAAATGCAATGCCAACCCAATTTTTGTCAGTGTAGGCAAGTCCTTGTGATTTGCAAATACATACTAATATAATTGTCTTAAGACATTTATCTCTTGAGCCATGTATCTCTGGGACTTATTTACACATGAGAATATAACCATCTTGTCATACTTTATTTATGCAAATCTAAGGTGCAGCTTTTTGGCTAAATGACTGTGCAAAAATTGTACTCTGCATTACATTTGTGTAATATAGCAAAGTGAAGGGGAATGGTAGGGGACCTGACCACCAACAGAAGGAGGCGGTCCTGTATCTGGCACTTGGAGTCAAAGCGGTTGGACCCCGAGAGTGGAAGAGAAGGTAAAGCCAGTCAGGGAGGGAGGCTGGCAACACTGTCACTGCCTTCCTTGTGCATGAATCTTGGGGCAGGTAGGGAGGCTGACTCCAGTAAGCTCATCCTGTACACCAGAACTTTTTCCACTCATGACAACTTTACATCTGAGAATTTTTATGTGACCCCCAGGTATATAAAATAGGTATAGAAATGAAACATTTACTGATAAAAAGTCATTAACATTATTTTAAAATAATTCCTTGGTGTATATATGTAACTACCATTTTTTTAAAAAATGAAAGAAAATTTTCATAGTAATGAGATGCTTGGCTTGTTTATTTTTACATAAATAATTCAATATTGGACTTCCGGTTGGTGGCTGCAAGATGACGGACGTGCTTTGAGACTCTCCAGAAAGAGAGCTCAGGCAACCAGGTATTGGAAGGTCAGGGGATCATCACCCCTCCCCTGTCGATGGTCGGAGGTCGCAGGGGCTATTTCTAAGTGATGCCAGCCGACGGCGTCTGAGAGGTGCCCCCCTCAAGGGGACACCCAGAGACGCCCGGCAATCGGGCATACTTGAAGGACTCCATTCCTCGGTAGAAGGCTACTGCCCTCAATTCCGCATTGGCTGCCAACACACCGAAAAGTGAAGAAATTTAAAGGAAAACCAAATATAAATACAAAGCGAACAGCTCTTCCGGGACCACGAGTCAGCGAAAAATAAAGAGACACTGACCAGCTGAGGCAAGTAAAGTCGTTTAGTGAAGAAACAACGGGAGCCCTGTACATGAAACCTGATCTAGGTAAACAAAGAACTGGACCCGACCGGTGAGAAGCGTGAAAGGCGTGTGAAATAGTAAGAAAAGGAGAGAAGGAGAGAAGGAGAGAAGGAGAGAAGGAGAAAAGGAAAAGGTAAAGGAAGTGGGGAAAAGGGAAACTAAATACTCAAAGAAATAGCAGCAGCCGGGTAGAGCAGGATTGCTCCCTCCCACAAAGGGACAGCAAAACCGAGAGATCCTCCAAGCCTAGAGACCAGCTCTTAAAGGGGCTGGCCGAAGGGAGATTGGAGGTTAAGGTATAGCGGGCTGCTGGCAGAATATTAGATTTAAGACTTTGAAATTTAAGAGGTATAGCCTGAAGGCACTGTGGAAAATAAAACCCTTTATCCCCACACCACCATCGTCTCAGAAGCTTACTGACCTTGAAGACGCGCTGGCTGGGAGTAAAAGATAAAGGAGGCATAAACATTCTTATCTTCAGGGAGGCCTTGAAGAGATTTGCGGCCCCGGCAATCAATCAGCAGACAGGACGGGCACGCCCATTCCTCCCCAAGCGCTTAAGGAAGTGAACGCAATTGCTACGTGCGAGACTACGCGAGACTTCCAGGCCGGATGAAACATCTCGCGGGAACAGGGGAACTTATACTTGCGCGAGAAGATAAACAGAAGTCTCGATCCTACGAGAGTTAGTGGAAAGCAGAATAGAACAGGAAGTGGACTCTAATCTATTGGGAAGCCCAGGAAAAGGCAAAAGGTAAAAGAAGTAAAAGGGCCACAAGAAGATAAAAGAAACACAGCGAGGGAAAGCAAAAGAAAGAGGAAAAAAAAGGGAAAACTGAAAGAGACAACGGAGAGAAGCAAGAAGAAAAGGTAAGGGAAAGAATTTCTACGGGAAAATAAAATAAGATAAAGTAAGATAAACTATAACTTGAATTAATTCTATATATTCTATATATATATATTTCGACCAAAAGATAACCAGAAACCTTTTTTTTTWTAAAAAAAGAGGATGACGACACAAAGCGCCAAAGCGAAAAACACACAACARTTCAAAGGACAAAACAGAAGAGACTCTCTATGCAAACAGGATCCACAAATTGAAGGCAATATAAAGAAAGACCCCCCGACAGAAGAATCAATGCTAAGTAACATACTGGCAGAGATTAAGAAACTCTCAGAGAAACACGATAAACAGCACAAAGAGTTACAAAATGAAATTCAAAGCATGAAAAAAGAGCTGAAGGAAGAAATTGRTAAATTGCAAGAAGATGTGGATAAAGTCAAGAAGGAAAAYCAAAAAATACTTAAAACTCAAGGAAAGATGGAAGGCAGAATGAATAAACTAGAAACAGTAACCCAAAAGATTAATGAACAAACCGAAAGACTGGAATATAGAGAAGCCGAATATCAACTAAGAATTCGTAACCTGCAAGAAGTTAAAGATGAAAAYATAAAACAGACTATGATTGAATTATTGGCAGAATTGTTGGACGTATCCATAGAAGTAATCGGGCAGGATGTGGATAGGGTGTATAGGGTACCTACGGGMTATGCCAGAAAACATAAAACACCACAAGATGTT